TGGCGGCAGGGGCTCACCTGGCCCGCCGGTGATCGGAGGATTGACACACTCTGTCGGGGCTCTCTTGTTGTGTTCAAAGGACGCTTTCTTTGTATAATAATACGTTTTTTAATGATTTGTTTTTTGGAGATGGTGGACGACGAGCAACTGAACGACTCGTTGGGGAGCGTCGGCCTCATCTCACCTGACAAGGAGGATCTTGCACGGCTGCTGGTAGGAATGAATGAGTCGGCGTGGGGAGGGGGTGTTGGAGGGGTTCAACCATTTCCATGCCGTCTGGCCGGATTACACATTGCATTTTTAATTTGTCTAAGAGGCACATTAACAAGCCTTCACAATCACACCTACAGACAATTCAGAGTAAAGAAATCGCATGAGTTTTTTGGGAGAAGAAAATACTCGAAAGAAGCAGGGTACACCCTGGACTGTGGCGCCCAGGCAATGGTTGGCCATGTTGTAGCTACAAAAATATATTTGAACTCACATTCAGGGGCGGAGCAATGTGGTGACCACCCATGTCACTCTCTGGCCACCCCTACACCGAGAGGAAAATTGTGATTTTTTTTTTTCCCCCTGCTATTTTCACTTGGATTTGATAATGTTTAATGTAGACTGTGTGTCTTTTTTTTTTGTATGTCCAGACAGTGCCCTTCAGTGGACGTATACGAGGTGGCATGAGGCCCGGGAAAAAGATCATCGTGATGGGCATTGTGGACCTGGAGCCAGACAGGTAAAGTTTTAAATTGTTGCTTTTTTTTTGAGCAAAACAAAAAATAAACATTTTTCTAATTAGAATGAATTACATGTCACGAGCTCATTGCAGAAAACTGGCAAAGACTTAAAACAATGTAGTACTGAATTTTGGAGCATTAAATTGTTTTTTTTGAGGGGGGGAGCATGGGGGGTGCTAAAACAGTGCCCGGTGAGACACTTGCGCATGAGTTCCCCCTTCCCCACTAGATAAGGACTTGAGCGCCTTCCCTCACCTCAGTGCCTGTCTGGCGTAATTTTGACGTGCAGTTCGCCATCTGAATATGCATCTTCCTTTTGGATAGTCCACTAATGTTGCCAATTCAGAGTGCCTCGTTCTCTGCCATGAGTGCTCGCACATCATGGAAAGGAGGCAAGTGAGCGAAGGAAAATGGGGGGAAAAAAAGTCAAACCTGATGCCCGGCATGTAGACCGGATTCTCATGCTGGTAGGAGTACTTAGCCATGAGTGCGTGCACAACACCAGGGGGAGAGGGATTCAGACGATGAATGCTATGGCGGGGGGGGGGGGGGGGGGGGGGGGGGTCCCCAAGAGGATTTATTCATTTATTTTTAAGACTGACTATCAACCAGGGCTTTGGGATAGTGTGTCCAAATGGCCTGCGGACCGGTACTGACATTTATAGTTATTACAGATGTGCATCTGCAGGTTGCATTTTTTTTATTGGTATGGCAATTCTTCAGTGTATTTTTAAACGGGATACACTGCTCTGGCCGCATTCTAAAAGGCCCACAAATCTTATGGTGCCCTCCCCTTGAAAAAGAGAAATCCTTTTGTTGAACAGGCCAAGCCGCTCCCCCACCCCCAACCCCTCCAGCCCCCCAACCCCAATCCAATAAATAATTACTGATATGCGCGCCACATGAAGGTGAATGGCAACTTCTTTCAGTATGCAAGGACGGTCAGGGCGTTCCCTCTCCAGTATGAGAGGGGGGAAAAAAAAGCAGCTACTTTGTCTGGGTGTGACTTGACCCTACATGGAAAGTTCAACGTGGAATTGCGCCTCCCCGCCCGCTTCGTGGTGACTTCATCGCTCACTGCAGCTAGCCACATTCATGACAAAAGTTCAATGTTACTTGTGGACGAATGTATTGGGACGATATAGATCTTTAATCATGGATTCATCAATAAGCAGTTAGACTTTAGTCTACACTGAATCCTCGTTGTCAACATGTTTGGTGACAATGAACTCTCGTTGATCTCAGGGGTTACGTTTCAGATCCACTTGCGATAGGTCACAGGTGTCAAACTCAAGTTCCGGGGGCCAGATCTGGCCCACTACATAATTTTATGCGGCCCACCAAAGGAAATGATGTGCATCCACTTCATGCTTCTTGCTCAAATACCAAAATTGCAAATTGTCTTCACTTTTAAAAATGTTGCGATATTGCAAGCATTTTTGTTCCCGACACCCCTTTTTAACCCTTCCCAAAATAAATGGAATCATATTTTTAAAAAGTTTTTATTGGCCTCTGATTTCAAAACGAGTTATTCACCAATTTGTCATGTAGCCTACACGTAATATGAGACGGTTCTACATGAATTTGGTTTCATAGTTGTAACGACCCTCTGTAGGAAACCATGGCTATGATGTGGCCTGTGGCAAAAATTAATTTGACACCCCTGCTATAGGTGAAATCCCAGAAAGCAAAGAGGCTAAGCGTGCTTGCTTCAAGCTATTTTTTTGTTACTCTCATTTAAAATTGACCATAAAACCGATAGATAAAACAATGAGAATTGAACATTCTATTTCTGGTGCAAATGTTATTCGACAGCTAATTGATCATCAAATGAATTGTTCATTATTTTGAGAATCGATTAATCATTTAGAGACCTTAATTCATTTAAGATTGTCCAAATCCTTGGAATTTCAGGATCTTAGAAGTAAATGTCTCATTTTTGTCGTCATGTATGAAAGCAGACCGATTTATTTTGGGTTTTTGTTTTGTTTTTCAAAATAAAACATTTGCAAGCATCTGCTTTTACTTTGGTAAACGGTTATCCCAATTTTGGGCGATTTTCTGACATGTCACGGGCCATGTCACGTTATTTTATTCATGTTAACATTTGACTGGACCAAAAGGGAAACTTTGCCAGATGTGCCTGTCACATTTAGGTGTCTCAATACTTTGGTCCGGGTCTCGTCTCAAGCTCGTTAGTGTCAGTTTTACGCATGTGTGCACACCAAGTTGCAGGGTGCCGGATGTTCGCCCAAAGGAGCAGCGGGGATTATGATTCATTCGAGCCATCATCCCAGATTAGCCTTCAGACTGAAACATCTGGCAACCAGTGTGCTGACTCCAT